GAGAGAGGGAGGGAGAGAGGGGGAGGGAGAGAGGGAGAGAGAGGGAGAGAGGGAGGGAGAGAGAGGGAGAGAGAGGCAGAGAGATAGAGAGAAGAGGGATCTTAGATGAAAGCTTGTCTATGGGTGCATGAAATCTATGAGCTGCGCTAAGCCAGCCCACAAGAGAATTAAGCAGTTTCCTCGAAAGCAAATTGAAAAATTGTATAAAAACTGAAGATATTAACAAAGTTTTTTTACGTGCTTACCTGAGATCTGTGTTCATCAGATCTGTATCCAGCAATTGAAGCAACTCCATGTGTAGGTACTACAGCTCCGGTCAGCATCTTAAAGGTAGTGGTCTTGCCAGCTCCATTGACCCCCAACAGTCCAAAACATTCTCCGGGCTTTACTTGAAAACTCACACCTTTTACAGCTAAAGGCTTGGGCAAGATCCCATATTTCTTTTTTAAGTTGTTGACAAGTAAATCAGGAGTAACATCTTTTGTACCTTCCTTGAAATCTAAGAACAAGCACATCCCTCAATAATAATCTTATTAAACTTATTCTACTAACTACTGCCACTACTAACTACTTCTACAGGGTGTTCATTACTTTGGTACTAAATGGTCAGCTCTTTGTACCCTGACAAATACAAATTAACAGTATTTTTTCCATTAAATAACAATTGAGCAAAAAACAACGCTGAAGTAATGTTCTTGTACAAATTCCCTGATTTTTCCTGATTTCCAGAATGTGGCCACCTTATACTACTAAAAATTAACTTTAATGACTACCACAAAACTAGTACTAATAATAATTCTAATAATACTAATATACTAAAAACAGAAGTACTAATACTAAGAATACAAAAACTTAACAACAATTTTGATAATTCATCAATATAATAGTATATTTGTCCACATGTTATTCTACATCCAAAAAGCACACTAATGAAGCTTACTTTTTCCCACCCTTTGAACTTCACCATCCACGTCATCATTTCCTGTGACTGCAGTGTCTCCACTTCCAAATCGGGACAGAACTTTTTCCCATAACCATTCAAACATACCCATATCTAAAATAATAACTATCGCCATGTACAGTATCCATGAAAAACTCAGATAAAGAAGAAGGTCTTGGTTTGACTTCATGTAAGATTTTGAAGTGGTACCACAATCATCTCCCACACATGCTGAAAAACAATAATAAAATAAAAGATTAACCCTTTGCGGTCGGATGCGTTTTATAACTTAAATGCACTACATCTGTAAAATGACATGGCAATGATGGTTCTCAGCTCTGAACTTTCCAGCAGGTGGCTCGCCCTACAGATTGGAGCACATCTCTTAGATGACAGCGTCCATTCCGTGATCCAGTCGGAGCACATCTCAGAGATGGACGCTGCTTTTGTTCATGTTTCTAGACTAGATGTTCATCCAAAAAGAGTGTTGCGAATTGAAAGTGGATGGGTATACATATGAACGCTATCCAATCAAATGTTTTGCCTCTCTCATTTTTGTCTTCCTGTTGCATATTTTTTACTACAGGTTTGTACCACTATTTTGTAGCTATAAGTAAGTGCAAAATGGACAATTTGGAGGATGTAGATATAGAAAAAATAATATTAATATGTACAGAAAGAATTTTTTTTCTTGCATTGAATCGCCTAGTTTATTTCCGAAATTATACAATCAATAAATGTAACCTCCAAAGAACATTTAATTGGAACGTGATTTTCAAAATTAAAGAAAATATGTCATTTTTTAAAATTTATTATTCATATATCTAGTGCATTGTGAAGTTATAGCAAACCTTATAACAAACAAGTACAAAACTACAAAATATAAAATGAATAAAAAGTTCTGCGTCTGCTCATGAGACGGCGAAATTGGGGGAAATGCAAAGCATGCAATCCTCCAAGACAACATTCCACTTTCTTATGTCATCCCAGCAATGTCCTCTGACCTGTAGGACAACACCTTTCCTATACGCACATGAGCTGAGAAATCAATTCAAGTTATCATCTCAGACATACTGTATGAGGGCGAAGGGTTAAAACAACCTTGCATATGATTATAGAATACTGATCATTGGTGATCTCAGAATACTTTTGAGACAAATTTAGTTCGGCATAGGTAACTTACAACAACATTTTTCATATCTGCTGAATACATCTTTACTGGAGCACAACCTTTCCAAGTCAAATTTAGTTGTTCGCAAACATGCTTTTTCCTCCATCACTTGATAAATGAACTGATGTAGAACTTGAGTTAGAGCAAAATTTGGTACGAGTCGAATTACTGCTTCTAAGCAATCGACAGCTTTTATACCAAAATCATGCAGAATTGCCATTATTATAACCATGATCAGACCTGCAAAGAAAGAACATTCTAATTAATAAAAAACCAATTAACTTAACTCATTAACACCCATCAATCTACTAATAGATCAGTTGAAAATTTCCTCATTTCTGCAGATGTTATTTCACACAAACAATTGTAACTAATGTACAGTTTTCTTAGAGAACTACAATATGCAGAAGAACAAAAATTATTTGATGCCTATATACATAATCTCTGCGAGCTAGTCATTTCCATGCTGACTGCATGGAGTTTTCTTTCAAATTTTACCACAAGAATGAAATTTTTTTTTTAGTATACCTGGCCATTTTTTCCCCTCTCTTAGTATTCTGCTACAATTTTATGCAACAATTGAGTATGTGTGAAAATTACAGCCAATGACACATTAAAAAATCTTATCAATAAATAAACTATTGGGCCCCTAGTACTTTAAGGTCAGTAACTTAACCTTTCTAAAAAGGTGCCATTGCCTACTGTGCATTTGGGGCAGAGTCCATGCTCCCCTTTCGCTTATTTTTGTTTGTACTTGCTAGTCTTTATGTGCATTTAACAATCTATGCAAATAATTAATAATTGTCATAAAATGTTTGCATACCACATAGGTATGATCAACTTTTCATTGCAATTTTTTGAGAAAAAATACTTCAGATTATTGAAGTAGTACATACACTATTTGTGTAGCTATGATGTTTGTGGGAAATGTGTGAAAAAGAAGAATAAATGTGCAAAAGATTGAACATATCTTCTTTTTCACACATGTCACATAGTTGACATTCTGGAAGTCTAGTTTGATGAATAGAAAAGGAATGCGACAGTGATATCATGCAGCCTCCAGGTATCAGAGATGCATTTATGATCACCAGAGAAGCACCAACTTCTCAGGTTGCTTCCTCACAAATGTTTGTCATCTAAAAATATGTCGTCTTCTTGCAGAAATAAGAGCCATATGTACATGCTGTGTCAGTCAACAGGAAAACTTGGTGAATAAATATATTCACATGTTGACAATTGCACATTTCTCATACCTTTTACCTGCAACTCTCAGATAAATTCCATGCAGTGAAGAAGTAATGAAGAAATCTCTCTTGAAACACAACAGGTCTAAAAAATGTTGAATTGTATTTCTAATCATTGAAAACATCCTGTACATTTTGACAACCAGCAGATATCTTTCAATTGAGAGTCATTAATGAGAGATCCGACACAATCAGAGAAAACAGACTTCCAAGCTACCCTCTTTTGTTAGGAAAAAAAAATACAGAAATAGCCAAGAGAATCATACGACTATACATGTGATAAAATTTGTCATGTAAATTTTACATGCCAATAAACCTGCTCGAGGCAAATTTTGATTCTCCAGAACCTAAGGATGCTTCTCCATGAACCTTCAGATCCATGAAGTCCTCTGGAACGAGCTAGTTCCGGTTTAGAACAGTTGTTTGAAGTCTTTGGGATCTGGACTTTTACAGTGAAATATCTGAAGATGTTGGGACACTATAATAACTAAAAAAACATTTGCCTCAAAGGCATTTGTTAGTATAAAGGATGTAAGAGCAATGAAAAAGACAACCAACTTTCTACTTTCTTGGCAGTGGCTCTACACCTCTTGTATTCAATTAATTTTTCAACTGTAGGGAACCAAATGAGCCCGGACAACGCTCGTTTCCGCTCACGTACAGCAGTAGTGCAGTTTCCGTTCCACTAAGGTACAAGAGCGGCCGTGGTTGGCCCATCATTCTCGGTATGGCGATGGTTACAGCATCGGGAACAGCTTTGGTGAAGTGAACAGTCATACAATTTATGTCGTTGGGTCTCTGATCTGATAAGTGTAGTCCACCGTATTAGGCCCAGTCAGCATGTTGGATTGACCACTGGGGTGAGCGGACAACATCGAGATCAGGCACATCTAAGTGGACCAGGATTGGAAAATGGTCGCTTCCACAGAGGTCCTCTAGGCCTGCCCATTCTAAAAACATAGACAGATGGACCGCAGAGGGAGATCGATGTGGGAAAAGGTGTTGGATACCAGGGAGAAATGAGGGACGACATGGACAGTATTTAGAAGAACCAAATTAAATCTGTCTACGATATTTTCCAGAAGGATACCTCTCTGGCAAGACCTTGCTGCACCCCAGACGGGACTAAGGGCATTGAAGCCCACAAAAATTAGATAAGATGGGGGCAATTGAACAATGAGAGTCACAATGTCATCTTGCAACATGACTTGTCGAGGCGGGATATAAGCAAATTTATACGCATGCAGGTTGTCTGAAGTCAGGTTTGCACGTCTGTTTCTTTGGACACCAGGGAATCCCTGACAAATGTAGCGACTCCACCACTGGCACGGAATCTTTCATTAGCCTGTCAGAACGAAAGTCGCAATGAGACAGTATGCAGCATCGCTGGGGACGGGCGAACCACTGACACTTAGAGACGCACAGGGAGTCCACCACCTCCTGCAGCACACGCAGGTTATACCACCCGCATGAGATCTCTGGGAGAGAGGGGCAGTCGAATGCGAGGGTCAGCGTTGAGGTGAGGGTGAGCACACTGTTCACCTTCTGCTGAATCCTGTACATGTCGGCAACTCCCTCAGACAAGAATGTTTTCGGGTCTTCATTGGTTTTGCTAGCGAAATCATGATTGATTACCCCCTTACATAGGTTTATTTATGATGGGTCAACACATTAACCACGAGGCCAGCTATTTCCTTCACTTTAAAAACTCTTGTCTATCTGTTCGTCTGACCGACAATCGAAAAGAATTGTTCTAGTGCGTTGGCGAACGACTGCCTGGATCTTCCCTAATTCTCTTCCCTTCTCTATGGCCATTGTGAGTTTTATTGAGCTAACACTTTTCATTGTTTTCCCTTCTTCGTTGCATGTCATTACAAGGAAGCAGGGTTTCGTTGGCTATAATTTCTTTTGCAGAAAAAGCTTTCCAGATTGACGTTCCTTTCATTTAGTCTCCTCTTCCTTAGGAAAGAGTTCAAGGAGGTTATTTTTGAATCCATGAGAAGGAGAATACTATGACAACCCCCACTCACCCTGGAGTTTAGTCACAGACCTAGTCCAAGCCGACTGATCAGGAGTGGGTTAGCTCCCGACCTTCCTTCAAGAAGAGTCCAAGACCAAAGTGAGTGTTGGAAATCTCCAAGGAATGTTGCAGTATAGCGAAATTTGCGTGGTAAGACAGAAGAGCAAGCCTGATTGCCCGAATAATATATATAAAATATAAAGTAAAATAGGATGTAATATTACAATATAAATCTTTATGGAAGTTCCTGAGAGCAGGTCCAAGTGGAGCACGCCAATATAAAAAAATATGTTTTTTGCTTTCCGCATGATATTCAATTTCACTTATGCATTTTCCTCTCTTATACTTTGTTTCTCTTCTAGGAACCCTGAAAAATGTAGGGAAGTTTTCCTGTAGTTATGTCTTTAATTCATTTTGTTTTTTCGTATAACAGGAGATTGCCCAATTTTCAGTATATATATATATTATTTATGGTTCCCACATTACATCCAACAGTCATTGATAATCGCCTATAAGGAGCAACATCAACTCTACTATTACAAATTTTGTCTGATCCGTGAAAAATACAGAAGTTAGTCAGACAATATTATATGAATAGAAGGATGATATAACATAAAATGATAACAATGGGGAAGTATAGGACATAGAGGATTGCAATATGCCCTGTTATGCTCATACCATGACTAGCGGGTTGTATATTCATAGGCACACAAATAAAAAATTAATGAAAAATAATTTGTGCGTTCATTGCTAGTTTCACACCTCACAGTCTTAACTTCAGTAATAGATGTTAAAACTACAAGTGAGATGCAAAATAAAAAAGTAAGTTGCATGTTAAGGGATTAAGGACATTAAAATTAATCAGTTTAAACTCTACAAAAATGTGTGTGTGGGGGCGCGTGTGAGTTCGCGCACATGCATGCATGTGCGTGTGTGTGTGCGTGTGTGTGTGCGTGCGTGTAAACAAGAAACCAATGCATCAATACACAATGGTATGTGCAACGTACCTGCGACGATATTGACGATGACCAAAATGGAGTAACATCCTGCCCAAGTATCTTTCCAAAAACTTGCAAAATATGAGAATGGAATTGCACTCACTCCATACAATACAAAAATTCCAAATAATGCACCTATTCAAGAAATAAAGAACATGTACGTGATATTTGTACAGAATTCCTAGAACTTTGAAAAAATTTGTCAAGATACTCACCCAATTCCAAGCTATTAAACACGCCTAGATGATCAATACAGCCAATGGCAATTACCAAAACTGAACTTAATCCCAAATGCAAGAGCAGATCTGAAGTATAAAGAGTAAGCCAATAAGTAGGTACATTCACACCCGCCATGCACTGCAGCTGTCGACTGGATGAAACACGTTCTTCCATTGGTACAATCACAAAGAGCCCAATCCAAAATGTTAAAACCAAGGGTACCAAAGACATCCACAATAAGGTCACTAAATCACCATCGATATATTGAGCCTAAAAACAAATACAATTTATATAAAAAACTACACAAAATTTTAAAAAAGTTTAAGACAAGGTAGGTAGAAAACAACAAAACGTTAGTTTTTATAAACATGTATAGAAATGGATTATTCACAGAAAGGAAAACAAAACATTACAAGTACTCAAATATACTGTCAGATATAATTTTAAAATTCATTTTAAAAGTTTGAAAGTACTTGCCTCCTCTTTTTGGAAAGGATGATTTGCAACAGATATGCTATATTCACTATCATTTGTTTCATATTTCACAAGTGCATTTGCTAATAAATTCACTGATATTGGCAAACTATGCAAAGCCATTTCAGAATAGAGTGCTACCAGTTCTCTGTCAGTTCTATTGAGTTGACCAGCTACAATGTACTTAAAGACATATGTTTCTTTGTCTTGGTAGCCTCTTTTGAGTAAGGTTGAAGATATGTTTGCTCCAGGAGGTACCAGCTCAACTGTACTTCCACTCTTCATCACAGAGGTTTTGTAGTTTGCAATAAGCTGCTCTGAAGTACCAGCTGCACTCGTGTACAGCACACTCGTCTTCCCATACAGAGACAGATCCAATTGCAATGGGGGAATTGGCTTCCCACCAAATCGATGAAGAGATACTGTTGTCACAAATATAATAACCAAAGCCACCAACACCAACTGAAACATAAAAACAACATATTACAATATATTTTATACTTCAAATAATACATTATTTATTATTATATATTGTGCATATATAATACCTGAATTAAATAACTGAAATTCATCACAAGAATCCGCTTCCAAAACAAAGTTTGTAGTTGCTGTAGCCAAAGAGAAGTACCTTTGACATTTTCACAGGATAATGCTGTAAACAAATTCAATTACCATTCATCAAGAACAAATTATAATATCTAATTCATATGCAGTGGCACAACCAAGATGAAAGGGGTCATGAATGTTTAATCATTTGAAATTTTAGCTCTTCCTTTTCGTTCATGAAGCCCCTGGTACAAAACACAAAACAATTTTCAAAACCAAAAAAATGTTGCTTTTTTTAATACATTTTGTTGTTTGATAGTATAAAGGACATTTATGCAAGGAAAAAAATTGTATCTTCACAATTGAGGTTTTAGGAAGATGCATTAGGTTTTTTATTTTTTTAAATTTTCACAAAATCAGGCATTTCAACAAACAACGAGACTTGCACAATTCTCTTAAGTATCCTTTATGGTATCTACGATTTCAATTTAATAAAAAATAATGTGCTGTTTTTAAGAAAAAATTGTTTAAAGAAAATAAACATTTACCTGTGTTTGACACAAAATTTCATAAAAAGTTAATTTTCTATCGAACATGACCTTATTTTATGATTTGATTTTGATGAACATATATCTTCATAATTGTAGTTTCAGGAAGACGCTGAACAAATTTTTAAATTGTTCAATTTTCAAAAAAAAATGGGAGTTATCCACCAACATAAGACCTTCATGATTTTCTTAAATATGTTTCAGACTATCCAACAAAAAAATTTAATCAAAATCGAGCTTTAGAGAAAAAAAATTGGTTAAACAAAATTATATTCAAAATTGTAACTATGATGAAATGCTTAGGGGTTAGAGAAACAAAATATTTAGTTTTATATATTGGTCAAAATTTGAAATGAAAATATCTGTTCCAACTGGCCAAGACAACTAGATATTTAATTTTAATTTTTTACAAAATGTCTGAATTCTTGGAAACTGAACAATTACTAATGCTTTACTTTGCTGTTTTCTGGTCTGTGGCTACATATGGTATTATAGCGGGGAGAGGCGCCTATGACCAAAACTTAACTTCAATGATCAATGTTCGTAAGAAAATAATAAAAATTATATTTAAGGAAAATACTACATACCATTCCGAGAATTTATTTCGGGAACAATATCTGTCAGACACTAGAAAGATATTATATAATTTAGTTAGCTTAGTCCAAGCCTGCACCCAGGCAATAACTGCCCTCAGCAGAGTATCTATGGATACTTTACTATTTCATGTAAACAATATGTATGTATTATGTATGGTAACTTGGAAATATACTCAAATTAAAAATTCATATTTTTGTGAAATTTGTGTGAAATATATATATTTCAAACAAAATTATGCGGAAAATACTCTTAAATTTTATAAATATTGTACATGACCTTATTTCAAAATCTATCTTTAAGGAACAAATTTTATTACGGGAGAAAAAACTATATTTTAATATTTTAGTTGTAAATTTTGATTTTTTTCATTCATTGAAGAACCAGGCTTTTTAACCAACATGAGACCTACGCCATTCTTTTAAACGTCCTTCGACTATTCAATAACAAAATTTAATCAAAATCGATTGTGCCGATTTTGAAAATTTGGAAAAGGTCCTAAGGGATTCATGTAAAGTATACCCCAAAATTAAAATATTGATTTCAAAATCCAGGGAGACCATCAGCCAAATCGATTGGGGAATATCAATTTTGGAGAAAATCAGCTGAACGGTTTAGTCACTAGCGTTCTTCACAGACAGACAGACAGACAGACAGACGTTTTGCAGTCGTTGTCGAGTTCTAGTATGGCAATGGACAAGGTCAGTTGTGCATGCAAGCAAGACAGTAACATAGGTCACTTCTACACACGGAAGTACGTCTTCCTGAAGGGAATCCAAATTCCTCCTGAGACTGTAGTGGCAGTAGCTCGCATTTGGTGCTTATTGATGTTTATTATTTATAAGGGGTTTGGGAAAAAAACCCTTTTGTGATAATTAAAATTGAATAAACTATGTATATATGTGGAGACAAAGACAAAACCTGATGCATTTACCTGTCAGTATTGCAAAAAAATGTATATCAAAAACCATAATAAACTGCAAGAACTGCAAAGCGACATATCACTCGAGCTGCACAAAATGGGAGAGGATAAACTCAGAAACAGAACAAGTTAAGTGTTGTGAATCAAAACCAACCATGTCAGATTACAATAAACTGATTCAAATCTTCAAACAAGAATTAGAAAAAACAGCTAAGAAACCGAGTGATAAAATCACTTAACTTGAAATAGATTTAACTAACAGAAAGAAAGCTTCATATTTAAGAAGCTTCAAGGATATCAAGGACGTCAAAAAACTATAACATTATGCAATGAACAAGCTGTCCTCGGGTATTGATAACTGCAGAGAAAAAGATACATGTATAACAGCTAGTTGCTGCTGCCATTATTTCAATAAAAAAATTTAAAAATTAAAAATGTCAATAACATTTACACAGACTGTGGTATACCCTTTGATTTAGGGAATCTGCTTATACATATATTAAAAGCCTTTGGAGTATCAGGATCACTACTAAAATTGTTTGAAAATTATATCCGAAACAGAACACAATTTGTAAAATACAAAGACTTTGTATCGTATACTATTCAAGTCGGTTCAAGAGTCCCCCAGGGGTCACACCTTGGTCCATTTATTTTTCTTAGATTTGCAAAATGTAAAAGGTCTTTCTTGCAGATGATTTGAAATTGCTTAAGAGTACAACATCAACAAAATCTTGTATGTCTAGCAAAACATCCCAGAGACTTGCAAGACAGTCTGAAAGCACTTTTTCAACGGTGACTTCTGAAAGATTTAATATTGAATCTGAACAAATGTATACGATAGACACGAGCCAACTTGCACTCGAGTTGCTTGCGTGAAGAACCATCTGTAGTCAGTGAAAGTGCAAAATGCTGTGCATACCTGGTTTAAAGAATCAGCAAAGCCACATTCAGCTACAATATTGTAATGTAGGTGCCATGTTACTCATAAAATATCTATTGAAACAAAATTTTAAAAAATTTGCCAACAAAACATTTTTGTTTTGAATTAACATTATGAACTATTTGTTCATCCGCCTATGTCAGACGCAGGAGCGTTACCATCTCGTCTTAAGAAGTGTCCAGTCCAGAGTAAACAAGCACGGTCCACAGTAAGCAGTAAGCAGTCAGCAGTGAGTAGCGAAACGGTTACGAGAGCGCTTTACGAGTGTCCAGCGACAAGAGTCAGAGGCCAGCCTGGAGGGAAGAGGCGACGCGAGCCTGTACGAGCGTGGGGCTTGGTGGGGCCCACGCACGGACCGAGCCGGGGAGGGCTCGGAGGCGACGACTACTTGGGAGTGGGAGAGTCACCCACCCGCAACGGAGGCGGCCAAACTCGGGCCGTGGCCCTTCCAGGGAGTTCTGCTGCGAAGGGCCTCTGCTCGCGGGTGGCCGAAGGTGACGGGGGGCAAAAAGTTCCCAACTGTTCATTTTTTGGTATCGTCGCGGACTGATAACCGTTGAATAGAATAGAAAGTTTGTATAGCTCGAATAAAACTGAATTTTATTTTCAAATTAAAAGTGAATAGCATACTTTTTAGTAACAATTTTTAACAACAACACTGTTCGACAATACATAAAAGTTGGTGATTGGTGACAAGACTACAATTTGGTGAAATGGTGGACAAATTTAAGTGTGATATTTGTTCTAAAGAGATTGAAGCACTAACTAAACATGCGATTTGTGATAGTTGTTCGTGTCATATTCATTATCGACGTGATGATATTTCACCGACTGAACAAAGAAGCATAGAATTGAAATCGGAAAAGAGATTGCTATATCTCTGTCCCAAATGCTCAAAAGGTCTGAGATCAGTTCCAATGATGCTACAGTCAATGCAATCTCTTGAAAACAAATTCACAAAGATTGACAAACTTACCAAGTCATTCAATTAATTTCAAAATACGGTTACTGAGACTTTCGTATTATTTGAAATTCGTTTATCAAAAATCGAAACTGATAAGAATGTCTCCAACTTAAATCCTACAGACGTCATCGAAGAAATTTCCCTACCCAGAAAAAAGAAAAAAATATCATCATCTATGATATCAAGGAGAGCGATAGTCAAGATTTGGCAGAACGAATCACACACGATGAAGCCCTTGTTAATATGTTAGCAAAATTAAAAGAACAAGATGTGACCCATTCCAAAATTGTGAGAATCAATTCAAAAAACAAGCAAAGACCAAAGCCAATGCGAGTTACAT